TCACTGTCTTTAGGGTCGAAACGTGTGACAGCTCTGAGGGTCCCAGACCTGCCGTTGGCAGTTCAGATGACCTTGACAATGGCCAAGACCATGTTTCAGGAAAACAGTCCAGCGACAGCGTCCCCGAAGGACAGCGACCTCACAACCTGATCGCACTCCGTGCCGGCTCTCCCAGGCCTGGCGCAGTGCTGTCTGCAGTGCGGACCCAGCTGCTCCTGTTACATTCGAGGCGGGTCAGGAGCCGGCCAGGGGCTCGGATCCAGTGCAGGACAGAGTGCCTGTGCCCACTGGCTCCGTGCGCGTGCGTGTTCATCCACGATTCCATAGACGATGTCTGTTCCAACGAGACGGACAGCCCGTGACACACTCGCCCTTGCTGTCTGCAGTGTGTGCCCATGTCCGCGTGGCCTTCTCCCAGGCGCGCCCACTGACTCGCCGCACAGCGGCCCTGACTGGGAAGCACTGTCACCTGTTCATAGTGTTCACGGGGCTGTCCCTCTTGGAATGATATTTAGTATTTATCTATTCTCAAATCTCTTTCATATCTTCTGTGCTGTGTGTGTGTCTTTCTGACATTTACGAAATGTTGAGTCCAAGTGGGTTCCAGGGCTCTCTGAGCTGGCACCCGGGGCAGCGGAAGAAAGGCAGGTCGGTCTACGCAGCTCCCCCCGGCTCCTGGCTCCTCACGCTCAGTGTGGTGGCCACGGTCCAGCTTGGGACATCTGGGGAACTCTAAACCAATGTTGAATCCCCTTTTATCTAACGTTTAGGCAGCCAGCCTTTTCTAGACAGCCGGGAGAAGCAATGCTGTCAGGTTGTTTCTCACACGCTTCCTAAACTCGCAGTTTCCTGACAGTTCCTGAAAGGTTTGCCTCGCAGATCCCAGTGTCCCATTGAACTTACTTTGCCACCACTAACCCAGGTCTCCCTCCCGGCCAGCCTGTACCCTGGGCTCCGCCGGAGCGCTGCCTGGCGGTCTGCTGTACAAATGCCCGCCACTGCCGCGTCCAGGGGGTGCCCTTCCACTGCTCCCAGCTCTCCTCTGCTTTTGTCATCTCCTGTGACAGCCCTGGTCCTGCCTGCCCTCGCCCTTCCCAGAGCCACCGCCCAGTCCGGAGCCAGAACGCTGGCCTCCTGGTGCACCTTTCCAGGTCCTTCGATTGTTTTCTTACAGAGGAAGTTCCGCCACGGTCTGGCTGGAACCCGCTCCTCCCAGCTGGTTGATGTTTCTCCTGCCTCTGACTGGGTTTGCCCCTGGCCCGGCAGCGGGCGCTCTGTTCTCCAGTGAGCAAATGGACAGCTCACAGAGCAGGCCCGCGGTGAGTGCCGTCCCCAGGTCTCCGCTGTCGGCGCCCCCTGGTGCAGCTGCAGGTAGAGACCTTCCTAGAGGAGGCCATGCTGAGGGACCGCCCGCTCCATCACAGCAGGCGTCCCCGGAAGACACACGCGGGGTGGGGGCAGGATACTGGGCCAGCAGTTCTGCCATCACGCTCAGGTGGCCGTTTGTCCACGGGCCACTCTCCTTTCCCGCTTTCATTCAGCCTTTAGATTAGAAGGTGCCTCCCTGCAGGGTCAGGAACAGAGGTGAGCATCTGCCGTTGCCGCCGGACTCCCTGGCTTACAGAGACGCGTCCTGTTTACATTTCTGCACATTTCTTCTATTTGGATGGTGGCCAGAGGCAAACAACTCAGCCTAGTGGGTCTAAAAGCAAAAACAGAGCTTTCCGAGTGTATGCACTGTCGTCTGACAGCTGAATATTCACAACCTAACGTTTCCTCAATGCAACCACTTCATTCGGTAGGAAAAGCTAATTCAGTTACCCAGCGTTTTCTGTCTATCTGAGCTTCAGGAGTCTCTGCGGGAAGAGTTTCGTAAGGAATGGCTAATCTAAGAAGATTGGGTTTGATTAGGGGCTAAACTAACAAAATGTATTTTGAAATGAGATAACAGGATTTGTGATTTTTGGTGTTCATCCAGCAAAACCGAAACCCCTGCCCCCCAAATCTACATCCTCAGCAGACAGGGAATCTATTCTTTGACCAGAGGTTTTAATTGCTGGCTTTATAAGTTGTCTTAAAAAATGTGTTCTTTGAACAGTTAGAAGTGATACATAGTATTGAGATGAAGTCATCAAACTGCTTAAGGCTGTAACTGTGTGTTTGGGTGACTGGATAAAATGTATCATTATGGAAAAAATACTCTAGTAACGCTTACTTCTGAAAGGCTTTTCTCAGAGCCATTAACAAGATTTCCTCAGTTGTCTTCTGCCTTCATTTTTTTTTCTTTTGAGTGTATGCGGATTTTAGGGATTTGGGGTCTTTTGTATTTTAGGAACTTAGTCTTCTCCTGGAAAATGATCAGGGCAAGATGTGTTTCATTGTGTTATGCCTGCTGTCTGAGTGGCTCACTGCGCAGACAGTGGCTCTGTGGTGGTGGTGATAGGTGTGACTGTCCTCTGCACGAGCACAGTAAGTGTGACACCCCCGGGACCTCGGCTCTCTCTGAAGACGGGAAAGAAGTGCACTCCGACTAGTAGCAGACGCCCCAGAGCACCAGATGCCTGGATCTGTTCGGATGTTCAGAGCAATTGCAGCTAGTGGGTTTTGATGAGGATAATTTAAAAGGACTAAAGAGAGCCCTGGCTGGTTTGGCCCAGCGGTTAGAGCATCAGCCTGCAGTCCAGAGAGATCCGGGTTTGGTTCCCTCGAAGGGCATGTACCCCGGCCCTGGTTGGTCGTGCGGGTGGCAGCCAGTCGATGTGTCCCTTTCACATCGATGTTTCTCTCTCTCTCTCTCTTCCTCTCTCTCCCTCCCACTCTATCTGAACAAAAAATGGAAGAATGTCCTCGGGTGAGGATTTAATTAATTAATTAATTAAAAGGACTAAAGAGAGACATCTTTTTTCGTGATGGCTTTTTCTTCCAGATGAGGTGGATAAGGTGTGGGAAATGACCTCTAGCTAGCTGGTATAGTTCCGAGTTCGTCCCGTTGCCGGTTTCCCTGGATTTTAAAGAGGAGGACCTCATGTCTGGTGAGGCCCAGACCGCTCCTGCCAGCCTGGGTGGCAGTGTGCAGTGGGGACACGGGCACCCCCCAGTGGACCATTCCCTAAGCCCCGCCCACATGCACCCCGCTCGTCAGGGAGGCCTGGTCCGTGCAGTGTCAAAGCAGTCTGGTAAATAATGGTATGGTCTTAGTCGTTTTGGTCCCTGCCTTCATCTTCCATATACAAAAATGAAGGCCCCGGAGACAGGCTCCGGTCAACTCGTGAATGAGGCTGTGCTCCTTGTGAACTAACCCTTGTAATGTGTGTCAGACCGCTGTGCTGTGAGGTGAGTGGCAGGGCCGCCTCGCTGGCGGGTGTGTGGGTCACCTGGCCGGGATCCTGAGCCAGCTGCTTAGGCCAGGACGGCGGGAGTTTTCCTCTGAGGCGCCCGAAGGCAACGTGGCCCTTTGCCCAGAACCTCACAGAGCACCGTCGCCCGCTGCTCACACTCCTGTTGTCTTGCGTCACGTGGATGTTGTGAAACCGCTTTCCTGGGTTCTCGAACCTTCTCAATATTGTCCTCCTGGGCAGGTGGGGGTTTGTCTCGATGTCAGAGAAAGTGGGGCGATGGGAAGGACCCCCTAGGCAGGAGTCGGGGGGTGGAGAAGAAGGAGAGCTGAAGATTTCTCTGTCCTGCCTCCCTCTGGGCAGGTCCTAATGCACTATGGCCACTTGTCACAAGTCACCACTCTCCAAAGCGCAGTTAGAGACAGCCTCTGGTTAGGATGTCCCAGCCTCCTCGTTTCCTGCTGATGGTGGGTGGGCACGTCGCCCGTGGCAGACGCGTGTGGACCCCGAGGAGGGGGCGCTGTGGGACACCTAAGCAGGCAGGCTGGCCCGCCAGGTCTGGGAGCGGGGCTCCCTGGTCGCTATTCCCACGCGACCCCTTGGGCTGGCAGCACATGGCACTGCAGCGAGCCCTGAAGACAGATTGCCCCTGTGCCCGTGTGGGAGGTGAAGCTTTTCGGGGTAACTGCCAGCTACGGACCAGGGAGTTGTACGCTGGAAACTGGGCTTGTGTGCTAAGTGGCTTCCAGTCCCTGAAGCTGAGTGTGGTTTCTGTGAGAGGTGCAGCTGCCAGCGATGTCCTCCTGCCCTCCGTGCTGGCAGCCTTCCCAGAGGGGCCCCTGCCCTCCGCCCTCTGCCCTCCCCAGGATGGAGGGTGCAGAGGATGCAGTGTCCCCTCGGAGGAGCCCAGAGACCCCTTAGCTGCTGGACGGCAGGTCCTGAAGCACAAGCCTGAGCATGCAGACCGCTGCCCTGGGCTACGGACCCAGGTCCGTAGTGGGTCACCGGTCTGGGTGCTGCTGTCCCTAGGGCCACCCCAATGGAGGCCGTCCACCCTGACCCTGTCTGCGTTGAGAAACGCTTGCTTTGTTTTTAACCTGAGGAAGTGAGCAGAAGCATGAAGGACCATTTCTCATCATCACGGACATGTTGGCATTAAACCCAGACCACACGGCGGCCGCCTGCCTTGTGCCACATTCCATCCTGTGCCATCCCGAGCACCCCCCGCCGCGTGTCTTCCCACCCCCGGGGCTGGTGCATGCAGCTGTGTCGTGGGTGAGGGCCCTGCCAGGTGTCAGTGCCGATGACAGCGGTGGGGCTGGGAGTGGTGGTTCGCGTTGCTGTCGCCCCTGACAGACCGTCCTCTGCTGCTGGCTTTGCCAAGCTTGGTGCCAGTTCCTCCCCGCTGTGTCCTTCCAGGACCTCTCAGATGAGTGACAGCAGAGGGCACACCTGCCGCGTGGTGTGTGAATTCGTGTCAGATAGCCCTGTTCCTGGGAGTTAGGGCATCCGTGCCTGACCAGACAAACCCAGAGACGTTTTGGTTGCCCGTTGGACAGCCTGTGAGTGTCCTATTGCCCGACGTGGCAGCCCACATGGAGGCTCACTCTGCTGTGCCTCAGTCTTTAGGGCACAACTAAATCTTTCATTCCTGTCATTTCCTAGGGCTCGAAGGTCCTCGTGGATGCGCGGGACAAGCTGGGCATTCCGTGGCAGCATTCCGAGAATGAGAAGCATGGCATGTTCCTCATGGGCTTCGAGAACAAGGCCGGGCTGCCCGTGGAGCCTGCCACCTTCCAGCTGTACGTGCCCGCTCTGAGCGCCCTGTGGGGGGACTCGGGCATCCAGGAGGCCTTCCGCCGCCGGAGCGAGTTCCAGCTGGTGAGTGAGCCCGCTTCCGGGCCACGGTGTTGCGCACGTTCGGTTCTGACCTTCGGGGGATGTCCTCGGGAACCCTGTGGAAGTACAGGCAGTCTGGCAGTTGCTTTGCACCCCAGAATGCTGCAACAGAGGCACATAGCAGGCAGGCTCAGCTATCGCAGTGGCCTGAGGGCGAGCAGAGTGGATTCGCTTGGGCCGAGTCGGTGTTTTTATTCAGGGCTGTGAAGGACCCTGCAAGGGTTAAAGGTCACCGTAACTCAAGGGGCTCAAACGTTTAGATCATGTCCACGTGAGGAAACGAAGGCCTCCCGAGACAGCCTTCCAGCTGCCAGTGTGCGGCCTCCGCCCGAGGGACCCGGATGTTCGTCACCTCGGAAGTCAGGACGCACCTCCGCTGGTCCCTGCGGGCTCCTTCCCCTCACTCTCAGGCCTGCGCGGTCTCTGTCCAGACTCATTCAGGGTGTGCATCCACAGACAGAAAGTAGGGGTGCTGCCCCTGCAGAGGCCACACACCCACAGCACGCTTTCGGGTGCAGTGACAACCCCCAGCGAAGGCCAGCTCACCTGACGGAGGGACCGGGGTGGCCCGGCCCTGACCAGGCCCGGACGGAGGCTGAGGCAGGAGCACATGTGCGCGTGCACTGTGGTCTGGTCCCCTGTGCTTGGGAATGCGGCCGCCGAGTGAGGCCTCGGCCAGCAGGGCAGCCGGTGGGACCTGGTGCAGGCTGGGGACACCTGGACAGCCCTGCCTCCTTGTGCCACCCAGCCTGCGGGGGTGGGGAGGGCAGCGCTCACTGTGGCCTCGCGTGCCGCACCGGGCAGATTGGAATTGCCTGTGAGCAGAGGAGCCACGGAGGCATGTGAAGCCCCAAGATGACAGGTCCGAGTTGCAGCTTTTCTAGAAATCACGGTCAGTGAGTGGTGTGTAGTGCACACTGGAGGACGGTGCTGGCCAGACGGGGCTCTTTAGAAGTCAGGACACTGGGACTTGAACCAGGCAAAGCTCTTGTCATCTAGGTCATTGTCGTCTTCATTGCTGGACCGTGAGCAGGCTGGGAGACTGCCAGGTGTCAGACTGACTGCGTTGTGGGGCGATCAGCTCCACTTGACAGCCTTGTTACTGCCGGCCAGGGTTCGCGTTGCTGCCGTCGGTTAGGGCCGCACTCTGCTCAAGGCCTGGCCAGTTAGCCTGGGAGCTCGGCCTGGTAGAGCCTCACCTGACCCCCATTGCCAGGTCATGAGCCGAGTGCTCCCTTGTGCAGGTGCTGGGAGACGGCACTCAGTGCTGGGAAACGGCACTCAGTGCCGTGCCCTGTGAGCTCCTCGTGTCCTCTCCTGACACTGCGCCACACTTCTTGGATGTTGGTGAATCCTTTTGGACATCCTCTCAGTCTTTATTTCAAGGCGGCGGGGCCTGGTGCTTTTTGTTTTTTCCTTTATTGGTTTTAGAGAGAGGAAGGGAGAGGGAAAGAGAGAAAGAAACATCGATTGGCCGCCTCCTGCATGCCCCCACTGGGGATCGGGCCTATAACCTGGGCATGTACCCTGACCGGGAATTGAACCGATGACCTCTTGATGCATGTGTCTGTGCTCAACCACCGAGCCACACGAGCCGGGCTACCTGGTGCTTTCTTAAGAGGCCTTCCTTCCTGGGCTCTGGCAAACAGCGCTGGAGCATGTTCAGAAGACTGACATTCAGAGCAGTTTCCTGATTGACCCTGCTGTTCGCGATTTTCCCTGCCACATTCTAAGGAATCGAGTCTCTGGCATTACCAGAAACTGCTAGGAAAGGCTGGTCGTGCGGTCTGAATTGCAGACATGGAGGAGGGTTCTCATCACGCTGTGGTGGCTGCCGCCCTAGAGCCCAAGCAGTGAGAAGCTATGGGAACCAGCCTGCGGCATGCTGACCATGGGCAGAACCACTGGGATTAGTGGCCCAGCTCCTGTCCTGAGCCCACGTGTGTGCTGCCCAGTCTCTGCGACGTCTGGGGCTTCGGCAGCGCTGGGTCATCGCGTCGGCTCTCCTAGGCCGACCTGTGCCGTCAGTGGTGCTGGGCACCTCCTCCCCATCTCTCACCAGTGGGCGTGGGCTTTGTCAGGGCTGCAGGAACCGCGTGCACGGTCTCAGGCCTGGGCTGTGTCCTCGGTGCAGCTCTGGCGTGGAGTGCCGTGCGGTGTGGGAGTCACCGCTCTTCAGAAGAGAACACGCATCATGTTCAGGCAGGCCTGACGCCGCAGGTCGGCGTGCCCTGGAGACGCGCCTGTGCTCCTGCTGCCACTGCTCTAGTCGAGTCCCAGCGAGGGCTGGGCTGGGCGGGAGGGCGTGATTTGCAGCGGCGACAGTAACTTTCTGTAACTTCCTTGGGGGCCACGTGAAACAAAGTAACATCTGCAAGGGCATTGTGGGTCTCTCTGGTCCCATCCGTCCGGGTGCGGCTAGGAAGGACAGCGACTCTGTAGGGGTCACTTTCAGCTTCTCCGGGGACAGGTTCATGGTATCTGGTGGATTGAGAAGATCGGAAGTAACGACCTTCCTGGTGACGGACAGCTCCTGTCTACAGGCTGTTCAGGGTAACGCAAGCGTTTTCCACGGTCTCTGAAGGCTGTTGCTAGTCTCCTTGCCCAGCCGAGTTTTACCCAGGCCACTGGCTTTAGCTATAATCTTTTTCCTCTTTTCTCTCTAAACACTTGACTTTCTGAAATACTGCAATCTGAGGGTTTAGACTAGAGAAGACGGGGACCCCAGGAAGCGGGATGAGGGCCTCCAGCCTTGGATGTTGCTGGTGGCGCAGTCAGGAACATCCTGAAGACACTTCACTTGGAAACAGTGGCGGTCTGCTGCTGGTGGCTGAGGCAGTGTGCCTGGGCACCCGCGCTGCGGCTGTAAGGTTTGGTGCATGTGACGCAAGACCCACACCAGCAGGGACTGTTCTTTCCCTCGTGAAGCAAGTTCAGAGACAGCCAGTCCAGGGACGACAAGGTGGGTCTATTTGCAGAACCTTCCCGGGTCCTGCTGCCTGGCTCCTTCCTCAGGCGCGGCACTCAGACTGCATCCCAGACAGGGGTGCGGAGGAGTCCGCCCTCTTCCTTGCAGGGTGGCGTCCTGCCAGCACCATCGACGTCCGTGGTGACGCTCAGCGGCTGGAGCGTGCTCTCGTGGCCACACCCACGGGCAGGCTGCTAAGTGTGCTCAGCTGGCGCCTTGTCTTACAGGAGCAGCCGCTGCCTGAGATGACGGGGTGGGGTGGGGTGGGGTGGGGTGGGTGCTCCTTAGGGGGAGCCCCTGGAAGCGTGCACTGGGTTTTGCAAGTGATTCTGACTCTCCTTTGTTGAGTAAGGAGACACTTAGCAGCACATAATCCATACTTAGGGAGGTATATGGTAATGGTGGCTCTCAGTCACAGGTGTCATTAATTTTATGGAATTCATTTATTCAGCAAATATTTGTGGAGCAGACACCATGTGTCAGATGCTCTTACAAATCCTGGGAAATAGCAGCAAACAAACAAAAACAAGTCTGTGCCTGACAGAGCCGATGGTCTGACAGGAGACAGGCAGTAAACAAGGGAACAGGAGAGGTGTGTGCATGCATGTGCACCCATGTGTGCATGTATGTGTTTGCGCATGTGTGTGCACACATATACACGAGCGTGTGTGTGTGTGAGGGAAATAAAGCAGGGAGCTGGGAGAGGGCCTGTGGACAGAGGGGAGCCTGCTGGGTAGGCGAGGTGGTCACAGGGTTCTGTGGCAATCTTGATTCTCCCCATATTATTTCCCTTTCTCACGTGGTAATTGAGTTGAGACTTCAAGCACAGAGCCAGGCTACATTTTCTACTCTCCCTGGGTAGGTGCAGCCACGGGACTAAGCTCTGAGTCTCGCTCCTCCAGTGACCAGACGTGTTGGCCCAGCCCCTCTCCTCCTTTCTGCAGGCTGACGTGTCGAGAAACTGGGCAGTCGGCGCAAACACACAGTGGAAGCCATGTGCAGAGTGTGGCAGAGGTGCCCCCTGCCCCTAAGCCTCTCTTTGGCTTTAGCCCTATCTAAGGTGGCTTCCCTGAGTGGCATTTGAGAAAGCCCTGATGGCCCTGGCGGTTTGGCTCAGCGGTTAGAGCGTCCGCCTGCGGTCCGGAGAGACCCGGGTTCGGTTCCCGCTAAGGGCATGTACCTCGGTTGCAGTTTGTCCCCGGCCCTGGTTGGTCGTGCGGGTGGCAGCCACTCGATGTGTCCATTTCACATCGATGTTTCCCTCTCTCTCTCTCTTCCTCTCTCTCCCTCCCACTCTGTACAAAAAATGGAAAAATGTCCTCGGGTGAGGATAAAAAAAAAAAGAGAGAGAGAAAGCCCTGATGGAGGTGGGAGAGCAGGCTTTTTAGGTGTCTGGGGGAAGAGGGAAGGAGGAAAGACTATTCCAGCCTGGAGAAGAGCAAGTGCAAAGGCCCTGTGGTGGGAGCAAGCTTTGTGTTCCTGAGTGCAGCATGGTCGGTGAGGCTGGGCCGAGAAGCTGGCTGGGTGAGAGGTGCTGGTTCCCAGAGCAGAAAGGTGTGTGGAGGGCCTGACGACCAGCCCTGGGAAGGGCTTGGGCTTTGGGGCGAGAAGTGGCCTGGTTTGATTTATGTTTCGTTTTTGTTTTTAATGTGTTTTTTTTTAATATTTTTTTTATTTTTTAGGGAGAGAGAACTATTGATGTGAGAGAGACACATTGATGGGCTGCCTCCTGCACACACCCTACTGGAGATGGAGCCTGAAACCTTGACATATGCCTTGACCTGGAATCGAACCAGGACCTCTCAGTCCGTGGGACGATGCTCAGGCCACTGAGCCACACCAGCTGGGTTGATTTATGTTTTAATAGGATCACTTTGGCAGCTAATCAGTAAAGAAACAGAGGCTTCAATGGTAGGCTTGTGCAGTAACCTAGGTGACAGATGGTGGAAGCTCATATCAGCCTGTGGTGGGGCCATGAGAGGTGGCCAAGTCTGCTCAGAGCCAGAGAGATGGC